TGTATAAGAGACAGTCCTGGGGGCGGCCGAGGACATGGTGGTCCTGCGGGCTGGGCTCTGCCCTGGCCTCACCGAGGAGATGATCCAGCTTCTCCGGGCCGGCGGCACCAGGACGGGTAACGGGCGGCGGCGGGTCTCGGGCTGGGGAACCCCTGCACCCTGCGGGTGGCACCGCGCTCTGCCCCAGGGCAGGACCCATCTGCCAGCCCGGGGGGACTGGGCGGTGGGACAGCCCCTGGAGAAAAACCCCGCGGTGGCTTTGGCTTCCAGCCCAGAAGCTGCAGTGGGGAGTTTTCTTAGAGCCCCGACAGCGAAAGGGAGGGTGGGCGCAGGTTGCCTGCCATGAGCACTGACCCCAGGAGCCTGGGGGGCTGCGGCTCCAGGCCCCGTGCCCGCATCCCCCCACCCTGGGAGGGTGGTGTGGGTGCCGTATCTCTGCCGTGTCCTCCTTGCTGGATGTCTTCTGGGTGCCCCTGGGTGGGTATGATGAGTCAGGAGTTCTCTATAGGAGCAGGAGAGTGTTAGGGATCTTTGAGCGATGATCAGTTACGGCTTTTAGAAGGTATTTTGGGATGGTTTGTGCATTTTTCCCTCTGAAAAATGCACAGGCTCCTGGCATACTGCACCCTGGGCACCTGCTCTTGGGGAGGAAGGAAAAGACTTCAGGTGGATTTTTTACTTGCTGTGAGAAACTGGATTTGAGTTGAGAAAAACCCCATGTTACTCTCGTTAAATGGAGTCTGTGAGATCCTGTGGGTGCTGGAGCCATGGATCTTGTAATCTTTGTTTTCCCGATGAGAAAAAAATTGTTACTGTTTTTTTTCAACCCATAACATACACATCTGTCTGAAAAAATGAATCTTGGAGTGGTTCCTGAGAGCAGAGATGGGGCCACTAGTTCTTCTAATTTCTGTGGCTTTAGCCCTTCCTGACATACTCAGGGCTGACACTTTGGGGCAGTCACTAGTCCCCTGAGATCGTGGCACACTGGCAGAAGGGGACTCTTGTGACTGGCCCCAGCTATCAAATGGCGCTGGGCAGCAGTTGATCGAAATAGAGAGGATTTTTACCAGCTTCTCTCCCTGGTCTGTTTTGCAAGAAACAGTTTGTTTTGCAGTGAGTGATGGGGCCATCTTGGAGGAATAATTCTGATACCCCATTTTATGGGACGTCCTGCTCATCCACTTGAACTGTTGGCAGAAGGTGCTGACATTTTGCCTGTTGGTACAGGCAGATTTTGTCTAAGCTGGTTGTCTCTTTGGTGTATGTGATCTGTCCAGGTTTGTCATCTAACTTCTTGTCCTTCATGCAGTGGTAGACTTTGTGTCATCAGACCTGGAGGACATCGCCCAGAAGTGTTCCCTGTCTTACAAGGTAATGGGTGACTCCTAAATTCTGGCAGATTAATGGGGAGCTCAGAGCTGTTCATCTCATGTCTCAGATGGGCCTGTCTGGAGGAACCTTCTGCAGCAGGTGTTGGCCCTGGACTTCCTCAGTCCCGTTTCCAGAAATCTCTCTGCCCACCAGGCGCTGGTTGCAGTGAGACGTGTGCTCCTGGCCCAGTTCTCTGCCTTCCCCACCAACGGAGCAGTCCTCTATGAGGAGCTCAAGAGCTCCACAGCCATCCTGCCCACTGGGAGCCCAAGGTGGGTACATCACCTGGCAAGCCAGCTGGTCTGCCCAGGGCTGGGCTTGCTGCCAAAGGCCATGGTTGTGCAGTGCAGGATTTGGATTTCAGTGTGGTGATGCCCTGAGCAGACCCAGTGGTGTCCAGACCATCCCCAGCAGTTGTTTTAAAAACTTAACAGCTGCAGCCTGGCTGTGCCTTTTGTGAGCAAGAGATGATTATTCTTCATGTCCTGTGGCTGCAAAGCCAGCTGGTCTGTGTCCCTTGAGGGAATGACACTGCTGTTGGCCTTGCGAGAGCCTGCACGCCTTTTGGGAGGTGGTTGTGTGTCTCACTTTAGACTAGACAACATGATGCCTTCAGCCTCTCCCTTGAGGGCTCCAGAGAGGGGGGTTTTGGATCTGGGAAGACTGTTGAGTGATGATGGTCCAGATTGTCTAGATCAGGCATGGAAATGAGTTACTCTATTGCATGTCCTTATTTTTTTCCTTTTCCCTGTCTCCTCCATGGGTTGTTACAGTGACTCCACAGAGAAACCCTGAGTATTCAGCTCCCAGGACCATAGCTCATCTCCAGCTCAGGACTGTCCTCTTGTAGCCCCCCCCTGCAGATCTGTTGTTGTCCACATTGTGGAGAGGGAAGTTGGGAGGGAAGGAGCAGAGCCTAAGGTGCTTGTCTGCATTTGGGAAGGGTACTCTAGGGACAAATATCTGAGGACTGCTGTTTCCTGATGCCCCTGCCATTCTGGCAGAAGGGGTGTTGATACTCCCACCTTGTGTTCAACCCATAGCCTGGACCAGCTGCTGGACTCCGGGCTGTACACAGGGGAGGTGACAGAGCTCATGGGAGCACCAGGCAGTGGGAAGACACAGGTGAGTGGGACAGAGGAGAGGGGAGAGGACCTCAAGGCTGAAGATGATGCCTTTGGGCATGTGAAGCAGAGGGACCTGGGAGCGCTGGCTGACACCCTGTCCCTCCCTTTCCAGGTGTGCCTGGGCATTGCAGCCAGTGTGTCTCTAGGCCTCAAGCAGCCCGTCTTGTTTCTCGACTCCACAGGGGGGTTCACTGCCTCCCGTCTCTACCAGATTCTTCAAGCCCAGGCAGAGGACAAGGAAGAGCAGGCAAGTTCCCCATGATCTGGTCCCTCCACCTGCCCTAAAACTCTCTTGGCTCTTGCCTGCAGACAACCCCCAAAGATGGTTTGTCTGTCCAGCTCTACCTTTGTCCCCATGGGCTTTCCTGGGTCCAAACCCTTTCTCTCATGGTCCGGTAGGTGCTGTGCTCAGGGACAGACACTGCACTTTCTTGTTTTTCTTGGGGAGAAGGGGAAGCCTTGCTGTAGCTGCATGGAAGAAAGAGGGGTCCCTGTCTCTATGGCATGGTATAAATGCAAAGAGCTGGTAGCAGCTGGGGCAGGAGGAATATAACAAGTCCTGGACGGGGTAAGGCTGTTGCTGATGCTGGTTTGTGCCACAGCTGGAGGCTCTGCAGCGGATCCAGGTGGTTCGTGTGTTCAACATCTATGAAATGCTGAGTGCATTGCAGGAGCTGCGGGATCGCCTCTCCCAGCAGGTAGGAGCGAGGGTCTGGGCCCCTCTCCCTCAGAACTACAAGGAGGGTAGTAGGGTTTGTGCACCTGATGAGTGACACCAGATAACCCTGTCCTGGGGACATCTGAACCTCTGCACAGCTCAAGACCTCCAAAACTACTGTATTTGTTACTCCACATTGTACACATTCTTTCAGGTCGTGAGCTCCACAGGACCTCTCAAGATCGTGGTGATTGACTCTGTCTCGGCTGTGATTTACCCGCTGCTGGGTGGCAAGCAGTCAGAGGGTGAGCTGCTTCGTCAGGATGTGCCATGAGGTTGCAGACCTCTCTGCTTGTCCTGAAAAGCATCTTCCTCCCACGTGTGCTGTGCCTGGGGCTGGGGCAGGACGGATGTGGGTGCAGCTGCTCCCAGCTTTTTCTTTGCAACTGTATAAAAGGGGAGTCTGTCTGCAGTGTTATTGGCAAACATTCAAGCTGGCTGTGGCTGTGCAAGCTCATGTTGGTGGTCTGAAACCTAGCTGAGGGACAGAGGAGGCACTGAACTGTTTGCTCACAGGTTAAAACCTCTGTTTACAGTGTCACAGATACATCGTGGTTGCTGGCACATTCTGCAAAGCTCCCCTGAGGCTCTTTCTGCCAGAAAGGACCATAAATCAGGAGTGAGGGGATTTTTGCTGGCTGAGATACCAAGGAGGCCCTTCAAACACCTTCCATAGAGTCTTACACATCTGGGTGACAGCCAGTGCTATCGCAGAAGGTCCCCTCACAGCCACAGACTGTAGGAAGCTATGAGCTGGAGAGATGGGTCCTGTGCCCATTAAACCAACCTGGCCAGCATTGTCTGGAGCTCCTGGTGCTTTTGTAGGTTTTTTTTGCCCAGGGCTTTAAAGATGGGAAAGGAAGGAGTGGGACAATTTGGGGGTTGGTCTGTCCGTGACACATGCATTCATCCAAGGTGGTCTGGAGTGTGCAGGTGCAATGTGTACATTGGGGTGCTGGTAAGGGAAATGGATGGAAGGTGTCCCTGAACACCCACACTGGCACTAAATCTGGTGCTTATGCAAATCTAGATGTCACCTGCTTCCAAGATGCACTTTGAGAGTTGATCCACAAACACCCAAATGCTTTGTCCTCCTCCAGGTTTAGCCATCATGATGCAGCTAGCCAGGGAGCTGAAGACACTGGCCAGGGAGTTCAGCCTTGCTGTTGTGGTGAGTGTTGCTGTGCCTTGTTTGTGTGCTGGCACGTGCCATAGTGAGGAGCCCTGGTGAAGCCTCGAAGCCCCTGGGAAGGAGGGGACACTGCTCCCAGCTGGGCAGCAGCAAGAGGCCTGCATCCCGCAGTGCTCTGCTCCCCAATGTAGCTCTGCTTCTCTGCAGCCTGCAGATGTCTTGTTCCAGCAAGTGTGGAGCAAGAACGGGGCTGATTTGCTGCCTGCTTTTATTGCTGTCCTCAGCCAAGATAGCATTCACTCGATTGAGCAAGGTAGAGTTAAGTACAGACAGATTGAAAGGTTGGTTGTATTTATTTTTGGTAGAACACCATTCATTTAAGGGGCTGGCCAGCTCAATAATAACCTCTTGCTTAGTTACCTTGCAGGAACTGCAGGGCCTTGCATCATCCAGAAGGAGCTGGGACTGGAAGAGGCCCTGCTCTAGTCTTCCTCAGCTCTTGGCCAAGTAATTGCATTTGCTTCAGTGCACCCAGACAGGTTGCTGAGACCACAGTTAATGTGTTTAAATTGGGAAGGCCACAAGAAAAAATGTTAATCTGCTGAACCTGGCACTGTAAGTCCTTGAGACAGTCCTGTCCTTTGCTCTGATTAGCAATAATGTGACAAGGATGGAGTGCCTGGAAGGATGCTTGGAATGCTCCAAGTTAAACTTTGCAGGTGGCTTTGGCCCCAGGATTCACTGCAGCTTGTGAAGTACATGTCTGTCAGCACAGGGTGTCTGACGTTACCTGAGTGTGTGTCTGGGAAGTTGCATGGGTTATGGTTAGAGGGGATGGTGTGGGTATGCCAAGAAGAAGGGCTCAGGATGGAGAAGAAAAATCTTCATAGAAGTAGAGTCTGGCCATTATCTCCTGGTGATCTCCAGTGTTTTGTTACCCCAAGTGACACAGCTTTTCCTGGGCACTGACAAACCTGTTTGTGCTGCAGGTGACTAACCAGGTGACAAGGGACAGCAGCACTGGCCAGCTGAAGCCAGCCCTCGGCCGCTCCTGGAGTTTTGTTCCCAGCACCCGGGTGCTGCTGGAGAGCAAAGAAGCCACCTGGGAGAAAGCCACCACACAGCGCATCGCTTCCTTGGCAAAGTCATCCCGGCAGGTGAGGCTCCCTGGACCGATCCCTCTGGGAATGGAGAAGAAGCTGTGTGATGTGGACCTGGCTTTGGAGCAGAGGATGGCTCCTGCTGGGGAGAGGGGAGGATCAGGCCTCACTGGGTGACCCATGGCAATGGGAGAGGAGCAAATGCAGCCTGGTCGCGTGCTGTGGAAGAGAAGAGCATCTGTTCCAACAGCCTGAGCTTGTATTTATAGGCATGTTAAAGGAGTGGCACCACTTCCAATCCAGGTCATTGTGTTCCTTGTGCTTGTCTCGCTCTCCTGATCGCATGTGGGCAGTGACGATCCTGCGGAGCTGGCTCAGACACCCGCAGAGAGCTGACTTTGGCTTAGATCCTGCCTACGTACAAGGCAGCACTGCCTGAGGCTCCCAGCCCTGAGCTTGCTCTGTGCCCTGATCCAAATGGGTTTGGACGTGGTGGTGTGCTGGGCAGTGAAACGCATCCTGGATGTGCTAAATAATAGTGTGTCTGGGGATATCTTGGAGCAAGATGTTCTCTCTTTACTAAATTGCATTCTTCATTTGTAACTCTGTGTTCAGCAGACCCAGTTAAAATGAGAGCACCAGCAGAAAGAAATTCTCAGGGGGATGTAATTGGAGATTTTTGGTTCTAAGGCAGGTGGAGCGATGTACAGGTTTGCCCTTAGAGTCCCAGCGGTGTGAGGTTAAGCTCCTCTCTGTTTCTCCTTACAGCCAACAGGGATACAGGTGGAAGTGGATATTGGAAACAGTCACGTGAAGGAGCTGAGCCCAGCAACACCTACGCAGGGTCTCTGATGGAGGTGGAAAAGCAAGCGTCAAGGTCCAGGAGAGCTGCAAAAACAGCAGGCAAGCACACTGAAGGTTTTATAGACTGCCTTAGAGTCCTGCAGCCTGGGAAGGACCAACATGAAGAAATTCTTGTTCTTCTGTGCTGGGGAAGAAAATGAGTGTGGGGTTCCCCAGAAATCTCCTTGCCTCAGCAGATGCAGCCCACAGTGGCTGGGCTGTGTGGGCAGCATGGCAACCAGGCTGCAGGCTTGTCTTCAACCAGCAGAGCCAGCCTTGTTCTAAGGTGTTGGCTTGGGACCAGCTGGCAGGTCCCTGCACAAGCCCATGACTTCTCATGGTGGGTTTGTTCCCCACATAACTCCCTGCCCACAGGTCCTAGAGCTCTGATCCTCCTTGGCCAGCCCACAGTGATCTTAATTCAGAAATAAAAACAAGATGTTGCATGGTGCTGTGGTTGTTGAGAGCTAGAATTCAATTAACAGTGACTGCTGTTAACTAAAATGTTGAGGTTTAGTCCCTAGCCAGTGGGGTGGAACAGGCTGTCAATGAGCTGGAATGAAATCCCTTGCTTGATCTGACCTTCTCCCCAGAGTAACTCCAGACCCTCTAGGGAACTGCTGGTGCTTTGGGGGCATTACTATGTTGCATAAAAAATTGGTGTTAATTGATGGTTATCATGTGGATCAGCTGTGGTGGATGAGTCCTGACTGACACCAGCTGGCCCTGCTGATGCTTAAGGACCTACTCAGTTGTATGTGGTGAAGTTTAAAATAATCTCTCTTTGCTCCTGTGCTTTTCAGCTGCTTTCACATGCTTTGGGCAACCTCCTGGGTGCTTGTGCAGTGCAGGGAGGAGATGGGAGACTGTGATCATGGCCTCTCCTCTTGATCCCACATGTCTTAGACACCCTCATCTCCTGCTTAATAGGAAACCTCCTTGGCCAGTGAGCTGAGCTATGGCTTGTATTTCTGCTGATGTAGATTGTGGGGGCTGGGACTCATCGGGGTGTGCTTATTAAACTAATAACACAGCAGTACAGCTTCTGGAGCCTTCTGAGGCTCTGCTGGACAAAGAGGAGTCTGATTTTGCCAGAATTTGGGTGCTACTTTCTTCAAAGTAGACATAACACTGTACAGCCCCATATTCCTAGGTAAATGGCTGGTGTAGAGAAGGGGCAGCTCAAAGGGGTATGTCAGTACACATGTTGGTTTCCCCGAGGCAGTGCCAGGTCTCAGCTCAGATCCTTGTTTTGCACATCTGTCAGAGCCTGTGAAATTGAGCTCCTGGTGCTCTGAGGGCTGTGATTTATGAGGCAGGTCCCACCCCACTCGCTCCCAGCAAGTCCTGCCCAAAGAAGGGAACATCCCAAAGCAACATGAGCTATACCATTAAACTGTTTTCAATAAAAATAAATGTATTTAAAAATTGTGTTTTTATTTGCATTTCTGGCTTTTCCAAGCTTGGTAGGGGAGGTTTGGCCCCTGGAGTTGCAGCCTGGCTGCTTGGGGCAAGGAGAAGGATGGTTTTCCTGTCTGCTGGAGACATGTGCTGATGGGGCTGGTCCTTACAAGCAGAAAATTTAGCTGCTTGTGTCTCTTGAAGCTGTGAATAAAGAGCTGGCACACGCAAATTTCAACTAAAACTCTGCAGTACTATTTTATCTCTCTTTCTGACGTTCTGTAGGGGAAGCAAAGCTCTTGCAGGGGAGTGTGGAGCAGAGGAGAAGCCAAACAGAAACTTCTTTGGTTATATTTTAACCAAGGGTGCTTTCTCACTGTCTCCTCCCCCGAACTAGCAGGAGGATGAGATGGGGAACAGCCTGCTTTGAACTCTGCATCAGCCTTGATGTGAGACCAGCCATGTGCCTAGTGTGCATTTTTGCTGTGGCCCTGGGGAAATGACAGAAGAAACTCCACTCTTGCACTTAGTCACCGGGGAACAGTCATGGGATGGTGATTCAACCAGGACGGTGCCACTCAGTTGGGAAGAGACCGGTGAAAGGCGAGGACACGCCGGCTGTGCTCCTCCAAAGCTACCCATCCAGGCATCCCAGCATAGCCATCATCTGGGGGGATTGTCTCTCCTTGGCAATCAGCTAATTGCAGCTGTGGGAGTTTTACAATTGCTTGGGAAACACCTGGATAGGTCAGGGAGGATGGTGTGATACGGGGCACGGCTGAGCTTTGAGTGGCAGCTCCTCCTCTCTTCGTCTCGCTGTTGAGGTAGGCAGCACGTGTGCGAGGTGATGGTGGCATCCTGAATTTCTGGCTGCCACAGGGAAGGTGTTGCTGTGGGGGCTGGTTATTGCTCGATGTGGGGACAGCAGAAAGGTTCAGGCTGCGGGAATCTATTACCCAATCTGGAAAAACTTGACTTCTTGCTCAAGCTGATTTGCCCTAAATTTGCATAGTAAAATTAGGCTGAAAAGAGTTTCTGACCTAAATATCCTAATTCAGCTTTTCTCTTCCATGCTCGGGCAGGCACTTCTCCAACCCAGAGCCTGGCTGTGCCAGCGCACATGGGATTGTCCCCTCTCCCTCCTCCTTCCCGTTGCCTAAATCAGCTGGAAAACTCTGGGAAAGGCTGGAGTGGGGTGATAAAACCCATCCCAGGGCAGACAGGGCACCCCTCGTCCCAAGCAGTGGGGATTCATCCCTTTCGGCACTGAGGGCTCAGCTGTGCTCGAGATGTATAAAATACACACGTAAGTGTATGTTAATGTGTATCTGTGTATACATACATCTATGTTTTCGTGTACCTGTATGTATATGTGTGCTTCCCGCGAATGCAGCCAAGCTCTCTGCACGCAGAAACAAAGAGGGGGCCCCCCCCGCCCCCAGCACCCCGCTGCCC